AGAGTATTGGTGAATAGGGTATCTTAGCCCGTTCAGATTGCTATAACAAAATACATTAAGCTGGGTAAATGAACAACAGATATTTATTGCTCACAGTTCTGGAGGCTGGGAAGTCCAATATCATGGCACTGGCAGATTGGGTGTATAGTAAGGGCTTACTCTCTGCTGCATCCTCTCTGCTGCTCTCTGCTTGCTCTCTGCTGCATCCTCTCTGCTGCTCTCTACTTGCTCTCTGCTGCATCCTCTCTGCTGCTCTCTACTTGCTCTCTGCTGCATCTTGCTGCTGCATCCTCACATGATGGAAGGGGCAAGGGAGCTCTCTCAGGCCCCTTTTATAAAAGCACCAATTCCATTCATGAGGTTGGAGCAAACATGTTTGGTTCCTTTTAGGTGCCAACATATGAATTTGGGTGGTAGACACCAACATTTAGACCACAGCAGTCAATAGGGCTTATTTCCATGAGCCAAACTGCAAAAGAGATAAGGGAAAATGAAAACTTAAATATTTATTCATTTTTCAATAATAAACTCGAGGATCAGGTCCTGTAAGAAGATTTTCCAAATCCCTCTAGGAAAAAAATTATCACCCCACTTACTTTTAAAATCTGAATTATATTTTGGAGAGGTTTCATTCAAGCATCTATAATACTTTATTGCACTTTTTGTTAACTTGTTTTTTCTCATCTAATAGCTTGTAAGCTCCTTGAGTGTAGGGACTTATTAAATTTAACATCTATTGAGTGTCAATTTGTGCCAGGCACGTGCTAAGTCCATAAAAACAATTATTAATAAGATACATCTGGCCTTCAAAATACATCTAGTGTAATAAAGGGGATAAATAAATGGAAAAATTATCAATATATAAATTAAGAAGTACTATAAAAAGGGAGATATTATCTAATCCAGTTTAGGTTCCTAGGGAAGATATCTTAGAAGAATTGACATCTTCTATGAAGGAAGATTAGAAGTATCCAAGACAAGGGGAGAGGGTCATTCCAGGTTAAATTACAAGCAAGTGTTAAAGCACTTCTGTGTTTGGGGAACTAAATACATAGGAAGAAGTAGGGTGGAGTGGCAAAAAACTAAATTGGAGAGGTGAAATGGGACCAGATAATGAAGGGTCTTTTACGACATGTTGAAAATATTGGATTTGGTCTTTAAAACTATGTGAAGGTCTTAAAAACTATACTGAAGAAGTATAAGAAGGACAATTATGTGACCAGATTTACACTTTAGAAAAGGGGCTATGACCAATGGTATGGAGTGGATCAAAAGAGATCAATCATACAGCAGCCAAGTGAGAAATAGCGAGGAGCTTAATCAAGGTTGTCACTTATAAACAGAGAAAAAGGGACAAATTTTAAAGATATGAAGGACCTAGGAATAATAAGACTTATATTGGAAGGGAAAAAGGAATCATGGCTGACCTTTAGGTCCCTGTCTTGGGCAACATTTACATTAACCACAAAGGGAGAATGTGTTTGAAGGATGGGGAGTGAGAAGACGTATGTTGAATTGTAGGTGTTTGTGGGAAATTCAAATGGACATGAACAGTTGGACATATCAGTCTGAAACTCAGAAGACTTATCTGTGTGGAAATAAAGACCTCGGTGCAGTCAACATTCATTTAACAAATATTCATTGAGTGCCCCCATGTATGTGCCAGGCATTATTTTAGTCCTATAAAGTTGAATCCTTCAAATTCAGTCATTGGATGGATAAAGCAAGAAGACTATAAAGACTATAGACAGAACCCTGTGGAATACCAGCATTTTGGAGGACCGAGATAACTGGATTTTCAAGTCAGAAAAAAAAAAAAAAAAATTCAGAGGCAGGTATAGAACCAGCGAGAAAAAACAAAACAAAACAAACAAAGAAAAAAAAATTCCTGACTCTGGAGGCACTGGTAAATTAATATACTGAAATACTTATACCTAGAGTAAGAGTTGAAAGAGTTAGGAGCCTAGGAGATAGAGGACAGAGTATAGAAAATTGGGATTTTAGAGCTCACAGACCATAGCTTATTCATTGTCCCTCCCTCCCTGATTCTTTCAGTGCTATTTATCAAGCTCTCCTACTGTGTACCAGCATTATGCTAGGTGCAAAATACGTGATGGTTAGCAAAACAGAGTCCTGGTTTGGCTAGCAAAACAGATTCCTGGTCCTCATGGGACTTTATGGTATAATACAGAAAACAATAAGCACATAAACAAACAGTATTTATGTAATATATATACTATGAAAAAACCAAACAGGGCTCTATGATAAGAAAAATAATAGGACCTATTTAGAAAGGCCTGATATTCGAGAATTGAAGAGCTGCAAGGAGGGAAAAATATATGAAGCACTTATTAATGTATTCTCTGTTCCTATAATATTTTTGGTGCATACAGATAATTTTTCAGTGAGTAATAAATGAAATAGTAAGGAAATTGATATAATTATTTTCTATTATCCAATTACTACAAAATGTAAAGAGATAGATATAAACC